GCAGAGAAGAGAAGGCAAGGGTTAATAGAAGAATAGGTTGAAGGAAAGACTTAGAAGAGAAGATTAGTACTTACCTATGGATAAACCACCAGCCAAATTTAACATGCCTATTTCGACTTAGCCGCCGTAGGTTACGCGAAAGTTGGATTAGTTTAGTGACAGACTCGCCGAATCCCGAATCACAATATGTTCTGTATAAAAATTTTTTGAGAACATATAACTTGATAAATATATATAAGTATAGTACTAACAATTAGAAATTAAGTAAAGTTCCAAAAATTTCGGAAAAAATAAAAGACAAGCAAGTTTGGGACAAAAATTTAATTAAATTACTGATAATTATATCTAATTTCATCCTAGGTGATATTACCCAGTATTATAAATTTTATTACAAGTAAAATAAATTCATAGTTAGGGATTAGGATTGGCTTTAGATTAGATTAAAAGGGTTTATATATATGTAAAATTTGACAGCTAAAACTTTTGCTTAGAAGTCAAGGCATGGTTTTTATAATAAAATCTTGCGTTATTTGAGGTTTTTCTTTTTTTCTTCATTTTGTTTTGGATACATAAAATCTGGTGATCTGAAATGCCGTGAATGAAGTCATGAGGCAGTCATTTGTTATGAGATCACATTACCCACCTATGATGATGGGGTTTGGTAAGTAACTGTGAGTAAAAGAGTTTAATCAGGTGATTGATTAAATGATGAGGTCATTATTGGTAATAAGAAAAGGTAGTTTAATTGAGTAATGGTAAGTATAAGGTTATAGAGAATGACTATTTAAGTGAAGTATGAATGGAAAATTGTTCTTACTCTTTTGTTTTCACTGCTAGCTCGACGCAAGTCTAGCTTTGTCATTGAATTATGTGGTCAAGTAGGATGAAATGGAGAACAAAAACGATATTCAAGAGATATTTCCAATGGCGTTACTTTCGGATAATGTAGTGGAGGATAGTGCAGAAAGAGTATCACAACAGGGTTTGAAAAGTAGATTGGACAGGTTGTCATTAGAAGCATTGAAAATGTTGTGTAAAGAAGAAGGTTTGTCAGAAATGGAGGTTAAGAAAGAGTTAATGGAAAGATTGGCAGTAAGGATGTTTAATAAGACTAAAAGAAAAGCTATAGAGAATAGCAATATTAGTGGAATGAGTAGTAAAAAAGAAAATATAAGGCGTAAGAGAGGGGAGGTAAGAATATTGGAAGACAATGAAGGAAGGACTGGGGTTCAAGAGTATGGAGTGCCAGATTTACAGTATTTAGCTTTAGAAAGGTCTTTGGAAAAAACAGTACAGGCAACGATGGAGAAGGTGGTAAGGGAAATTAGAAGAAGTGTCCAATCGGGGAGAAATGAGAAAGAAGATAAATATTAGCCAAAGGAGAAACTAGTGAAGGTGAGAGATCAGTTTGAATATGATGAATGGTGTAGAGTAGGGAAGAACTTTGATAATGTGTTGAGGAACAAAGATTGGGATTTGATAGTGAAAGCAAGGGATGTAACAGCTACAAGGGCGTTTATGTTAAGAGTGGCAAATAAGGAGAGGTGGAATATAGTGGCAGGAATTAGGGATCTATTAGAAGATGATCCGATAGAGGCATATTTTCAGGAAAGATTGGCAAATGCTAGAGAATTAGCAAGAAATAAGCGAGCAAGGCTGGGAAGTAAACCAAAGATGAATGCAGCATTTACAGGTTGGCTCATAGGTCTAGGAAATGTGGTGTCAAATCAAGGAATGCAGTGGCCATCATTTCAGCCAGTTCAATCAGGGTTTAATTCGAGCATGGGACCCCATTATGGAAATGCAGGGCTGGATCAGGGTCCTTATCAGAGGCAATACAGAGCTCAAGAAGAATCATGGAACCGATCGTGGCAAAACCAAGGAAGTCCAAAATCGTATAATCAAGAAAAGTATGGGAGGAAGATGAGGAATCCTGGTATTGTGTGCTTTATTTGTGAAGAAAAAGGTCACATTGCATGGGAGTGTCCTCAGAAAAAGTCAGGACAGTCCTTTCAAGGAACAAGTATAGAAGACAGGAAAAGTTGACTACACTCGGGTAGAGAAGAAACAAATGGAATGCAAAGTAATAGGGAGAATTCATTTAAGGTGGTCAGTGGAGTATTGAGAAAGGGTTATAAGGCCGGCAGCTCTAGTTATATTGTGGTTGGAGAACAGGATACCACTGTTTTCAAAAGGGGTAAAGACGTTGGCGCAAATGGAGCCCAGGAGACAGTTCAAGTTTTCAAAAGAAGAGTTAGAATAGATAGAACAGGAGTTGGAAAGGTTGGAGACAGTGGGGGCAGTAAAATTGGTGCACATAGGAGAGGAAAGACCGGATTTCCTGTTGGAGGTGAGTCTGGTTTTTCTGGTACCAAAGGTAGGCCCGAAGGGTACTGTTTAGTGATAGATTTAAGGAGTTTAAATCAGGTGCTGCCCAGAAAAACCTTTCGTTTCGAAGGGTTGGGAGGTTTTCTGAGAATGATTAGGAGAAACTGGTGGATTGTGGTGTTCGATTTAAGGGACGGGTATCAGCATGTGTTGATGGATGATTGGGCTCAACGGTTTTTGGGTTTTCAGATAGGAAAAAAGTGGTTCCACTATGCAGTACTGCCATTCGGCCTGTCACAGTCTCTATGGATATTTTTGAAAATAATGAGAGCATTGATAGGTTCATGGAGATCACGGGAGATATATTATGGAAATCATATCGACGATGTTTGGATGGCAAGCCCGTCAAAGGAGAAGTTGTTGAAAATAAGGAAGGAAATAGTAAAGGTCGATTTGGAAGGTTGTGGGTTAATAAGAGCATTAGACAAAGGGAGTTGGGAACCAAAAAGGAGAGTAAAAATTTTCAGTTGATTGTTGATACAGAAAAGGGGGTAGTCGAAATACTGGAATAAAAAATGTGGAAAGTGCAAGAGGAGTTAGAGGAAGTGGAAAGTTGCTATATGGTACCAGCAAAAAGATTAGCATTACTTGCGGGGAGGATTCAAAGTTTGGCATAGGCATTTTTACCAGCACAAGTAAAATGCATGGAATTCTATACCATAATAGATGCAGCCAATCAGAGGCATCAGTATTGGGACGAGGATGTGCAACTTTCAGAAAAAGCATTGGAGGATGTGAAGTGGTTAAGAGAGAATATGGCAAGGTGAAATAGCAAGCCGGTGTAGAAACCAGCACAAATAAAGACAGTATTCATGAATGCATTAATAATGGGCTGGGAAGGAATATATTTGAAGCATGTAGCAACAGGAAATTGGCCAAAACCATTCAAGTCGACAGAAATAGCCCAGTTAGAAAGTTTAGCAGTATTGCGAGTATTAGAGGCATTCGTAGGTGATGTTATTTGTGGACAACAAAGTTGCAGTAAGAACGGTGGGATTTAGGAAAAGATGTTTATGGCAGAAGGATCTTGCGAGGTTCCTGTGAGAGTTTTGTGCGGAAAACAATGTGTGGATTTACGAAGTGAGGTAGATGCCAAGCGAGAAAAATCCTGCAGACTCCTGAACGAGAGAGTGGGATGTAGGAGATTGGAAATTGGATGATCAGGTGTTTGGGGAGCTAGAGGCGAGATAGGGATCAGTGACGATAGACCGTTTTGCAAGCCACTTGAATATGAAAAAAGAAAGGTTCAACAGCCGGTTCTTTTGCCCGAGGTCTGAAGCAGTGGATTGCTTCACTCAAAGTTAGAAAGGCGAGGTGAATTATGTGTGCCCCCCATTTGGGTTAGTGCATCGAGTGTTGATACATAGTCGGGAGTGCAAGGTGAAGGTTATGTTGATTCTACTGGCCTGGGTATCAGTACTATGGTGGCCGATGTTTTTAGAGGCACCAAAAGAAGTAATAGAACTACCCCCAGCAGTAAATATTAACATTCCAGGACCATCGGGACAGAGGGAGCCATGCAGAAACCCAGCATAGAAGTTGTTGGCAGTAAGAATAGATTGGAAGAAGTGTTGTTGAGAAGGGTGAATGATTTGGCAGGAAGGTCGGTTAATAGGACATATAGGGTGAGATTAAATAAGACATGGCAAAGGTTTGAGATGTTTTGCGGATGGTTGGAGAAGCAGCATGTCCAGCGACGGTAGATACAGTAAGAACATTTTTGGGCTGACTGGAAATGACAGGTATGATGGGACAAGTGCAGGAATCTTTGGGAGCAATTATGAGAGAACACAAAGGAAGGGGTTTTGTAAATCTGGTAGAAGATTTTAGGGTTAGAGAGGTAGTGAGAGGCATTAAGTTGGTAAAAGCTCAGGATCATGAGGCAAATTGGCCACGAGACCTATTTCCAATAGAAGCGTTAAGACATTATCATGATAGTTCACCAAAGGGAGTAAATGCGATTATATGGCATAGAGATTTAGCTTTAGTGGCAATAGGAGTGCATACTATGCGTAGGCCGAGAAAATTGTGTAAGTTGAGGGTTAGAGATGTAGAAAGAAGGTCAGGGCTAGTTTGGGTAAGAGTTAGGAAAGTGAAGAATGATCCATTTGCGAATGGAAGATTTGTACTAGTAGAAAGTACAGGAAATAGAATCTGTCCTGCAAGGTTGTTGGGAAAGTATTTAGAGGTGAGACCAACTATGTTGAATAATGAGCCTTTATTTTTGTTAAATGTGAGTGAGGAGATGTTAGTAGCAGCGATTTTATCAGTAGTAAAGCGAATGGTAGAAAATGCAGGGATTAAGGGATGTTTTACGTCTCATAATTTAAGAATAGGAGGCATGACTGCAGCTATGAGAGGAGGTATGTCATTAACGCAAATAAGGGCAATTGGAGGATGGGATTTGAAAGCAGTGATGTTGTATTTAAGGATAGTAGATGCAGCTAAAGATAAGGTATCAACAAAAATGGGGTTTTAAAGTTGGAAAATCAATGTATAAGGGCGCATTGTTAAATTCAGGAAGAGGAAGGAGAATGTAACCTGATCCTATTGACGATCCCGTTATGTGTATTTCATGTGTATTGTGTTATATTAGAGGTAGTAATCAAGTGATAAATGAAATGCCGTGAACGAAGTCACGAGACAGTTATTTGTCACGAGATCACATTACCCACTTATGACGATGGGGTTTGGTAAGTAACTGTGAGTAAAAGAGTTTAATCAGGTGATTGATTAAATGATGAGATCATTATTGGTAATAAGAGAAGGTAGTTTAATTAAGTAATGGTAAGTATGAGGTCATAGAGAATGGCTATTTAAGTGAAGTATGAATGGAAAATTGTTCTTCCTCTTTTGTTTTTGCTGCTAGCTTGACACAAGTCTAGCTTTGTCATTGAGCCTGCCCACCCACCACTGTGACTGGGAATGATATGATTAAGTAAATAGAATTTGAGCAGGAAGTAAAAAAAAAAAAAAAACAAACAACAAAGAGAGAAAAGAAGTTGATACTATAGTAACGGCTGATGACCACGTGAGCAGCAGAGCAAAATCCTGTTATGTGTATTTCATATGTATTGTGTTATATTAGAGGTAGTGATCGAGTGACAAATGATTGGTTTTTATACAATCAGGTGATATCACCTAGGGTAAAAATGATCAATAGTCATTACTAATGTTATCCGAAATTTTAAAATAAAATTTTATTATTGAAAACATAAAATTATTTTTGAGAACATTTTAAATTAAATAATTTGTTCTCATGGAACATAAATTTCAAAATAGATTTCCAACACTGATGTCAGTAGTGTTTAATAACCATTATAATTTTTTATTAAAATTTATGGTTATAGAGCGTCATTTAGGTTGGAATTAAAAGACCCGAAATTTAGTTTGTATAGAGCTTAGTGAATTTTTTGAGATATAGCACTTTGGTTATCAATAACCATCAGAACAAGGTAAAATATTTTTCTTTTTTTTATAATTTTGATATTATACATATTATATCAAATTTTTTTACTGATATGATAATTGTTAATTATGGCCAAAAAAATTCTAAACTTACACGTAGTATTTTACACGGGTACTGATTACAAATCCACGTAACAATTTTTACAAAGATAAAAAATAAACCTTGCTCACACTTAGGGTAAAGCGAGTTTGGGGTTAGATCAGGTTTGAAAAGGGGCTAATGACCTCAATTGTTACGTGAATGGAGCTCAAAAAACCAGTATCCATTGTCTCCATTCAGTGTTCCATTGACTCCATTCGTTGCTCCATTGAAATCTATTGTCAACTCAGGGTTAGGACAGGGCGTTAGCTTATGCTAAAATTTGACGGAAAAAAATAGTTTTGTTAAAATCCATAAGGTGGTTTCATAATATAATATAACCGTTTTTTTAAATGGTGATAATTTTACGTTACACTGGATCTTGTACTCTAATTGCTTTTTATATACCTGTGTACTTGTATATACACGCAGTGTAAAATATAAATTGCTACAATAATAAGCACTATTTTTTCAAAATTATTGGCAATATATTAAATAAAAAAAAAACTTTATATAACCAGGTTACTATCAAAATTTTATATCACATCGTATTTATAGAAGAGGACGACTGTATTTAAATCTACAATGCTTCTTCGTCTCTCTTCATTCACTATATGTTTCTCCGGTCTTCTTAATACATCTGCACTATTTGTTCTGTTTCAATGACTTATTAAATTTCTAAATGATTCGTCATATCTTCCTAATTGATCTATTTTTTCACTTTTTGAATCAATTTAATGATTTATTTAAATGTCATAAAGTAATTTAATCATTATATTTGCCCATCTTATGATAAGTTGCACCATAATATCTCAAAGATAGTACATCATTTAATTTAATATCTAATGATTTATTTAAGTCGGCGAGTCTATTAATTATGCGATAAGTTTCGTTTTTTTTTTGCCACTGTCACCATAGAATGGGAGAGCTTCCGAGTTTAATTCCGATGGTTGATATAAGAGGGATACGGAACCTGGTGAGAAATTAGGGTGCTCGTATTTTATGTTATTAAGAATTTATTATTAAAAGAATGTAGGTTTACGTATTCTTTATTTAGGGACAATTTCAGAAAGCATCACTTTATATACATTCTAATTCTTATGATGTCAACCCCAAGAGCCTCTGTGTTATATTTTGCAAAAATCTGAGCGTATACGTATACATGTGTGCCTAAATTGCCCGTCTTAATAAAAAAGTAATTACGGCATTTAGGCAGCCGAAATAAGTCTTGTATAGTGCCGAAATTAATTTTCATATTTGCCGAAATTATTGGCGAAATTTTTTGAACTCTTTTCATCAAAATACAACATATAGCATAGTTATTTCGAAGGGTTTTATATAAACAATTTAGCGATGCCGAAATGTTTGCCAAAAATACTTTTTTTCAGAAATAATTTAGGCACACATGTATACTTATAGTGGTTAGTATTACATAGTTGGCTTTGAACAAGACTTGTAGAAAATTGATATATTTGACTAGTATTCGTTCAATAAGTTATTTCTCTATACCAATCTCTAATTGAATTTTATCGATTTTCCATTAATCTAAATGGGACCGATTAGAGACCGTTTTCTCCACACTGTTAGGTTCCATCTAGATTACTCGGAAACAAATGCAAAAACTGGTTAACGACTATCATAAATAACCTTTATATAACTTTACTTATTTAATTAAAAATATCAATTTTTTACAAATCTTGCTTAAAACTAGCTGAAAGTTACTGTGAGACAGATTAAACATTCCTGCTAAGAATACATGACAATGCCCAATATTATTACGCAAGGTAATATTAACATGGCTATGGCGATACAAAGATGGAAGGTACAACTAATAAAATTAATTATGTTTTTCTTAAATCACATGATTGTCCCATTACACCGTTTTAGCATGTACCCAGGAAATTTCCCGTTTCTGGTTTTAGAACAACTGCATTGCGCGTGTCCCCTGGTTTCAGCGCAACTATATTGTGCAGCTATCTTATTTTATAAACAACGTTAAACCCATCATCCCTGGTTTCAGCGCAACTACATTGTGCAGCTACCCTAATTATTTATTGTTATACAAAATTTGGTAACTAAAATTTAAATGGCGAGCCGAATACTTGGACCCGATGGCTGTAGATTTCAGAACCGGTTTTAACATAAAAAAGATAAATATTTAAATTACAGAATTTTAAATAATTCTTTGTGATGTAATAAATGATTATATATATACTTATTGATTAAATCAAATAAGAGATGCGATTTGCAAACTAAATCGATGAAACAAATAAATTAATTTAAAAACAGTATTTAATGATGAGTCTATTTACATGTGGTATTACGATTTAAATTTTATAGGTTAATTAAGAGTTATTAATATAAAACCATTTGCATTCAAGATCAATTGGTTCAAATATAATGCATAAATTTTTATTCGAAACTTAAAAAATAAAACTTGTGGAAATATTATTTTGGACAAATATACGTAGTATAGAGAACCTATTAAATAAAATTGATTATTAGTAAATTGATTTATAGTAAGTATCTCATATATATCATTGATTACTTTTTCAAATATTTGAAATAGTTTAGTTTTGAAAGATAAAGGTAGCAGCAAAATTCTTTGCAATAAGTTTTTAAAACTTAGAGATTATTAGCTGGGCAATAGAAGAGTTGGTTAGGGCTAGTGATGTAACCCAAACACCCAAACCATGTATTAATTAGCATCACATAGTTTAGCAATAAGCCGAAACTAACGCTATACTAGGGCCATAAATGCGATGATAATAGATAATTTACGTGACATCATATTGTCATAATGAAATTTTTTTATTCTTCGCTTGAATGACTGAATGAATAACTGATTAATCGACAAAATTAAGGAAAAAATTTTTATTTTTTACTCCAGAATTTTGCTCATGAAACGATCTTGGAGTCCTAAAAAAATTTTTTTTCTACTCATGATTTGGTACAAGTTTTGTTCAAATTCATTTTTAACTCTCAGATTAATCATAACATTAGATTCTATTTAATATAGGCAGATGTTAACCAATTAGTCATATCTTCTCACACACATTTCGGTTTTGCTCCTCATTTGACATTAGCATTGGAATTTATATTAATATTAGTGAATTCTAGTCTTTTAGATCATTAATTTTTATATAAGCATAACAAAATACCATTAGTACATTTAGATATACAGAAATGAAAATACAGAGTCAGATTTCCGAAATTTTCATAACACACTTTGATTAAATCTTCCTGATTTTTCGGTATATGGAAATCGTTGATTTCACCTTTTAAAAACATAATTTGATCTTTTTTACTAATCAGAATTTTCAGATTCAAATAGATATGTGGAAATACATCTTGAAAAACAATTATGAAGATTTGATTAAACCGTATTTTCTAGAAATCAGCTAAAGGTAAACAATCATTTGGGCAAATTTGCATATCTGACGGGCTCAGAATACACAGATGCCATCGTCATAGCCTATTTAATCATAGCATAAGGGACGATTATTAACCTAAGCCAAATTGCTGCCAAGTTACATAACTATACAATTATCTGATTTGTAGATGCAACAGCATTTTTGTTAATTTTTTATGTAGAAATTATATAGACAAAGTATCAATATAGAATGTAAAGTGATGTTTCAATACATTACTCAATGATTTGCAAGATTTGCGTCAGAACCACAAAATCGCTATTATATATATATAATTATAACATTAATTACTATTATTACAGTTACTCTACAAATTCTTATATACTGCAAGTTCTTATATTCGATAAATTTACAGTCCTCTGGATGCACTTAATTTTTGGAGCTACAAGATTCTTGGAATTTGTTTTATGCTGGGGACCGCAGTACCTTTAGGGCTGATATTTTCTTTCACAACAGAAGTTCTATTTTAAATTATATAATTGGAACAACGTAAAAGATTTAATGTTGCATGTGCGGAATGCAACATAAAATTTTCTTACCTTAATATTTAATTAAATACGCGATCATATGAATGCGCGTAATTTTCAAGATGAATAAGTTTTTAACCTAACTCTAATTAACAAAATATCTGCTTATTTACAATAAGGTAGGTAGTAGCTCATGTTTTTTTTAAATATTTACAAATAAAGTATTTAATTTATAAGTCACAGATGAAAATGAAGCTAGCTATCATGCCTAATTTTTTTATAAATGCTATTCGAGTTCGATAAAAAAATTGCGCGAGAAAGCTGTATCAGGTCTAATGTTACGTGCATTTTGTAACGTAATGATAAAAATAAATAAACATACAAAAATTTGTTGACGAGCAATTTCTTTATTGTTAAATTGGCTATGTAGCGGTTCACGCCAACACTAATAAATTCGCAAAGATTGCAAAATTTCTTATGAGTTAAAAGTTAAAATAATTAATAAATGTTAAAATATTTGTGCCTATCAAAAAAAAACTAGATTTTTTTAAAAAAAATCTTTGCCAGATTCGACTTAATATTGAAACAAAAGAAAACCCAAAATTTATAAAGATTTCGGGGGTTTTTTGCTGCATTTAAATACTGATAACCGCAAGAGTAAATTTCGTTTGATTTTGTGTTTTATTTATATTTGAAATAAATGTCAAAAAAAAAAAAGACAATATCAGTACGATGAAACACAATCCTTGAATTGTATAGATTTGTTTTGTAATAATCTAAAGAAATAATATGTATAGTTTATATGATAAACTTATCGAATTTCGTAATATATGTAAAAAAAAAGTTTCAGAGATAATCTATCTCAATTTATTTCTTATTCGTTTTTATATACAAGATCAAATCCCAATATATTTAAGATACAGATTTTATTGTATGAATACAAATAAGTTGAGTACCCATAAAACGTAAACCAATTATCGCCCTAAAGTTCTGTTTCTTTTTAGAGCTTGAGAACTAATTTAACTTCAAAGATTCTAATTTTGAGTGTTTTTAAGATTTTTTAGTCTGAAACTATTAAATATCCTAAATAATAAATTTCTTAAATTCCCAATTTAAATATGGTTCTAAGTATTACGTGAACGTTACTTAACTCATCATGCAATTTTCAATTAGATAAAAAAAAATACTTAGACATATCACATTTAATTTAATAATCTTGATCAATTCGCAAAATATTCATAATATTAACATCACTTTCTAAATTGATATTTTTTGGTCCAAAAGGTCCAAACCTAATTTTGACTTTAACTTTATGATGCACATTAATATTGTGTCTTTTGGTAGTCCAATTAGCTTCATTATCTTGCATGTCAATTCTACAATTATGCGACCATACATTATTTAACATTACTTGAAGCTGGTCTCCAAATATCTTTCTTTCCTGAATATAACGTTTTGACTTTTTTGTATTTCCTGCTGCTCTGAATTTATGATATTCTTTCAATCCAATAAATATTTCTTTCACATTTAAATTCGGTTTTAAAAATTTAACTATTAATTTTACAATAATAGGATTATTAGGCCCAAATGTATTATAATCCATCGAGATATCATAACTCAATCCACATTTTAAAGCTTTTGGATTATCCCATTCTATCCATCGAACAGTTTCTGGTCTTGGCATTGGGTTATATCGTGTAATTAAACATTTGCATTTAATCTTCTTCTGAGAGCTTTGAAATTTCAAAATATTAGATTTCCTTATAATTCTGGCTTTCACTGTATAGTAGATAAGTCCAACTCCTAAATCCATCGATGGTGGTAAATCATTAGGTAATGAAAGTTGAAATGGATAGTTTATTTTCGTAATATCTTTGTATATTTCTTCCTTCAAACCTTTGCTCTCCCACAGCAATAATGATTGATTTAGAATTTTTTTCTTGTAGTTATATGTATGAACTTGATTGCCAATAGTTTGGGTCCAAGAAACACATTCGGCACCTGTAATAAGTACTTCAATTCTCTTAGCTTTCAGAGGTTTGGATTCAGGAAATTGGAGACACAGATTGCCAACTATATACGAATCTTTGAGACCCAAAAGTCCACGTTGAAATTCATTGCTGCCTGATGAATAAGTAAACCACATCTTTTGGCTAGCTTTGGTGTATGAGGACATTGAGGGCTGAAGTGATGTCATTTTTCAATATCTAAAAAAAATAATAACAATTGTATCAAAGAGTATTTATAGTTTTCTTAGAAAATTTCTTGGGTGCAAGAACAGAGCAATATGAATATATGACTGATTGTGTTGACAAAGCAGTATATAAATATTAAATTACGTGTTTATTCATCACAATACTGCATTATTACATAACTCTGTATTTTATATCATGTGATATTTACCTAATTTGCGTGTTTACATAATATACCAAACACTGCACGTACAATAGATACATGCATACAAGTTTTGTTCTAATTTAGACAATTTTAGATAATTTTAGTAATTCTAAAAATTCTGTAATTGTAGAATTTTTGTTTCACAAATGTAATATAAAATTGCTGCGCAACATAGTTGCATTAGAAACCAGGAATAGATTTACTAGTAGAAGTTTTAATTTTGTGAAACATTGCCGTATTTTGCAGAATAAAATGCATACATGATGTAATTTTTTTTTTTTACACAATAAAAGAAAATTAAATATCAAAATTAATACATGTCAACAAACATTCATTCAATATGGAGATTTGGTTATTTGGGCATAAAAGGAAACTTTGTTCCAAATACGGTAGTAGTCAGAATGGCTTAGGATCATGGGATCAATGTTACAAAATTGGGAGAGCCATTTTAGCGTTAGTTCAGTTCGTAAGCATTAAAAATAATTAGAGCAAAGAAAGAAATTGTGATACAAGCAGCTATATAATGTTGAGTGCCTTTATTTAATAGTACATTAGAGAGTCTTGAAAAAAAAGATCTACTCAGTGGTAACAAATGACTTTTTTGCACAGCTTTTTACAAGTGCAAAATAAAATAAGAAAATCAAAATCATTACGCAAAATAAAGTCATAACCTTTAACTATAGCATAATGTAAATTGGATGCCATAACTGACGCATTCTATAACATTCTGTAACATTTAACTTGTGTCACAAACTTTGACTTTTGTGTGATATCTGATTTACATAGTAACTTCCGACTAACTTCCGACTTATGCTGTAACATCTGTCGTTACTGAGTCCTGTAATATTTACTTATCCCCGTAATACTTTATTTACGTTATGTCTTAACACTTTACATTATTCTCGACGTTATACGAATATATAAGCTTAATATTATTTGTCATTTTATTCAATATAAAATACTTGGCTCTATGCTGTAAAGTGTAAAGTATACTATGTGGTTGTTATCGTCGTTATTTTATATAAATTGTTGTGATAATTCGAATGTCTGCATCTATACGTACGTATGTACGTATGTAATAAAGTAACTATGCAATTACGTAATAATCGATTACTAACAAAAAAAACCGTCGATGTTATACAAACCTAGTGTGCAGCACATAAAAAATTATTTTTACAATATTGGATCATGATGCTAGTCCATGTTACGGTCGGTTACGTTAATCCTTCACCTGACCTGTTGGATTAATTATGTAATATTGACGGTTCCTCCTGTTAGCAAAATATGAAAAAAATTCTATAATAACATTTATCGTAACATCTGTTTTAGCTCTGCAACACTAATGCTAGGTCTTTTACCAGCACTTTGTTCAGATTTCACTTTCGTCCTTTACGGAAATTACGTCACATTTGTCTTTTAATACGGAATACCATAGGTACACAAAGTAACAAATTTTGATTTAGTGTTTCAGTATTTTAATATTTAGTGACTTGGAATTTGAGTTTTAGTGTTTTAGTGTTTAGATTATTTCTGAAAAAGTATGTATATCAAAATTAATTACTGTTATTAAATTTGAACAGTTGTTAAAATAACTTAATCATTGTTATTAAATTTAGTCTTCAGCGATATGTACTGTAGGCAGTTATTTTAAACTCCGAAGTAATTACGGATGACTCCTATTGTCATACGGGAAACAACCTTTATTACAGATTACAGTTACTAAATGAGAGCTGCACAGGGAAAACCTGTAAGTAAAATTTTATTCGTTAATCGCTATTTGATCTTAAAAATTTGGCACCGGGGCGTGACCAATTATAGGGCAAGGCAAATAAATATTTACTACTTAAATTATCTAATAAATGATTATTTGTCATGCACAATGATTGGACACGCCCCAGTGTCAAATTATTAAGATCGGCATAGTGATTAACGAATAAATTTTTATTTACAGGTTTTCTCTGCACAGCTCTCATATAGGGTCTTTTTCTTGAAAATCATGTTATAGGACATATGATTTACTATGTCAGATAACTTGATTTTCAAGTCAAAGGGTCCACATTCCGAGATGTTCTTTGTTAATGCATTTTGCAATAAGAGAATGCTCTGGCTATATAAATTTACATATTTGTCTAAACACAAACACACCCATATTATTGGAATTTAATTTCTGATAACAATTTATATTCAAATAGCTATAAATAACCAAAGCATTAAAAACTAATTCAAATAATAAGTCTGTTTTAAAAAAATTTCTTAAGAGACTCAATATTTCTGATGACAATTTATATTCAAATAGTTATAAATAACCAAAGCATTAAAAATTAATTCAAATAATAAGTCTGTTTTAAAAAAAATCTTAAGAGACTCAATAAATGATTGTTTAACATAAATGAATCTATCTTAAATGTTCTTATTTTAATATACTACACTTATTTTTACTCTGAATCAAAAAATTTAATTTATATCTAAACTATGCTATCTCAAAAAAGTATTACATCAAGAAGTATAAATTACATAAATTTGTACAACAGACATTACAAATTAATATTACAATTAAAAGATCTCCTGGCATTTATTATGTATTTTAAATAATTAACAAATTTTTAGCTATTTAGTCAATGAGTTAAAAGGTGTCAATTAATAAATTTTACTTGTTTATAACATAATATATTTTTGCTAATAAAAAATAATACAAGTTTATTATTTCAATTTATATTCCTTTTACAACAAATTATATATATATTTTTTATTTCTAGCTTATCAAAATTTATAATTAATTGAGTATTCATAAAAATCACACATATAACCTTATTATGCAACAACTAAATATTAATAATTTAAAAATAACTTTATATCAAATTTCTTACTAATTGTCTTAACTACATCTTTACTTATTACAAAATTCTATTATCTTTTAACTATATAGCTCTACCTAACAATAGTATAACTATTCTTATATATATTTTTAATAATGTTATAGAAGAAGCTTTTTGTAAATCTAAACAGTTTTGTTTCTATCTTAGAACATAAGCAAAGATTATGACTCTATAGATTTAATATTTTTTACCAAATTCTTATTACATTTACACATGTTACCCAATTTTATCAATATTCTTACCAACTTTTTTACTAATTGACATAATTGAATCATTACAAATTTAAATTTTACTAACTTATATAATATTAAAAATGACATTAATCAAAAAAAAAACTATAATTTCATTATTTTAAAGAATTTATTATAATCTTCTAATTAACAAAATAGTTTTTGACTTTTCAGAATATATTTTGAATATAAAGTAGAACACTAATTTAGTTTAATCAAAGTTTCAATAACTTTAAATCTTAATATCTGTATTAGCATATATAGATAACATATTTTAGATAACCAAATTCGAAGAAAAACTACAAACAATTATTATTATAACAACTTTTTTTTATTATATGACTAATATACAAATTAATTTAACTAAATCAATCTTTATCTCAAACACCTCATTTACAGTTTCTATTTACTTTTTTAATTCATCACTTATATCTACTTCTATTAACCAACTATTCAAATTTCTAAGATACTGGTTTACTCTTAATAACTTCTATACAAAACAAAGTTAATTAATTTACAATGAAGCAATTCAACTTATTAATATTAAAAATATCAAAAAAATTATAGACAAACAAATTATATATATTACTAATACTGTAATTATTTTTATTATTGAATATAGACTACATAATATAATTCTTAACCATTCTATCTGTAACAATATTCTATTCAAATATCTTATTATGATTAAATATAAAATTAAATTTTTTTGTATTAGTCCTAATATTACTATACTAAACCCTCATATATATAATATATATAATATTTGGAATATTCAGTTATAACATCATGTATCTTGCTTTTAACAAAAAATTAATAATCTAAAAACATTTAAGATCTTTATAAAAATTAGATTATAACTATTTTAAACCAATCTTTAATCTACTATTAATATTCTTCAGCATAACCAACTACTTATAGATAGATCTAACAAATTTACACTTAATTTCAAAATTATATAACTTTTATAACATTTGGATATTTCAATTTTAGTAAATTCTAATATCTTGTAGTTTAATACAATTTATTTTAGTTATCAACTATTAAAACCTATACTTAGCCAACATCCCAAATATAATACATTTAGAAATTAATTTCAGAAAAATAATATACTCTATTTAGAACAACTATATAATGTAAATAACAGCACTTTACTTAAATGGCATTATCTTTTATCTAGACTTTATTATCTATTCAAAAAAAGACAGT